AATTTAATTTTCTGGAATTAAACAATATTCTAAACACACAGGCATTATCATGTCCTTCTTTGAGATGGGCAGGTTAGAAGTGTAATGAACGAATGAACAAACAAACAAACAAAACCATTGTTTCTGCTGGACTGAAAATATTGCCAAATCTCTAGTTAATTATTTGAAATGCACTAAAGACTTACGTTGTTTCTAAGCCAGTTACTGGCTAGGCTTTCAAATGCTCATTCAAAACTCCCATTGTATTAAGAACTTTATCATACTATTACTACTATGCACAGATGATGTCAATGAAGTTTAATCATAGGGCATTTGACAGCTAACAATAAAGAAATAAATTCCCAATGTTCATGTAGTTCTGAAGTTTTGCTGCTACTTTTTTCACGATGTTTTTGTCAACTTTCCTGTCCAGCCTATTACCCTGGGAATTTCTGGTGGTGTTCCATCCATGTACAAACCAGGTTTCATCTTACTTTGCTTTTATGAGATCAGTCAAAATCAGCTAGATACTGCTACCTGCTGTAGGCACAGCTAACAATAATTTGCATGTTTACATTTTGTTCAGAAAAATAAAATTCTTCAGCTTCATTTTACCTTGTGAACATTTTAAATAAATGAAACATAAGATTGCTCTCACATGAATGAGGTAATAATTCTAGAAATCATGAGCTAAATTATTTTGTTGCTTACCTAGTTTCTGTAAATAATATGCAAATAACTATTTTACAGGTACTAAGTTGCAAGGTATTTTGTTGTCAATAGATGGTGCTATGGCTATAATTTTAATGCTAGTGTCAGTTCAAGCAACATCAATGAATAGTTTCTCTCTCATTACTAAATTCATTTTCTTTTGCACATGTAACATTGTAAATTATGATTTTTTCCCACAGCCCAACTGTGAAGGAAACCCTAAAAAGTTTAATAAACTTCAGAGATTAGAATGGCCCCCAACTATTAGCCTTCAGTAAAACTTGGCTATATACAGTACATGCGCCAAGGGCCCCACCTCCTGGCTATATTCTTAACAGGCCAGATGTCTTGCTGTGTATGTATTCAAATCAGAATTTTTAATGTTTTTTTATTATTCTAAATGTTTTTGAGATTTTAATTGTAATATATGTGTCTGAATTGTGAGCCACCCAGAGTCGTTTACTAAGATGGGCAACTATAGAAATCAAATAAATGAATAAATAAATATTTGTTAAGTTTGTTTTTAGGAATGAAACCATGATATAAATGGGATCACTACCAAATGTAGAGGTGTCCTTTCAGTCAATTTATGTTGCATACCTTAGCTCAAGTTATGATTCAGTGTCAGAGTTTACAGTGACTTTATCACTGCCTTTTTCTCCAGCAGTCCCCAAAACCTTACCCTCCAAGTCTCTTCTGTAGTTGGATGAGACTCTGGAATCCGTAGGGCTGCATCACAAAGTCTGGATGGGAAAGGATAAACTTCCTTCTGCCAGCAAGATGTTTGATATAACCCTAAAACTGTAATTGCCAATGTCATTTCATCTGTAGCACAGCCACATTTAGAATACTCTGCTGGTTGTAGTTCTAATTAATAAAATTATTGGATATTGGATGCTTATATAGTTTTGGTATGAACACTTAATTAGAATGGAGAACAACATGGAGCCAAGTTCATAAAATTAGATTATTTCATGTCAGTGCAATACTGTATTGCACTATAGAAAGCTTTTCACTAATTCTAGTTTCATAGTTTAGTGAAAGTAATAGTCAAAAACGTTTTTACGCCCATGTTCTTAGGATCTAAACCACTCCATTCAAACTAAGCTAGATTGTTTGCTAGGATATAGAGCTGAAAGTATATTTCTTTCCTTCATTGGTCAACACAATTTAAAGTACTAGTTTTACTTTTTATTTTGCAACAACCATCCCTGATAAGGTGGCAAAATTAGCCACTTTGGTGTAGTGGTTAAGACACTGTGCTAGAACCAGAAGACCTTGAATTCTAGTCCCATCTTAGGCACAAAAACCAGCTGCATGGCTGTGGGCCAATCACTGTGGCAATGGGAAACCACTTCTGAAATCTTGCCAAGAAAACTTTTAGACCAGGCTGTCAGCAGACGTCCACACTGACTTGAAGACCCATACACACACACAAAAGCAATGAAACATGCTTCAGCATTTGCAAATACAAGGTAGCCCTTGACTTAACTAATGCAATTGGAATCAGTACTTCCATCATAAAATAATGCAGTCATTGAGTCACATCCAGTTTTATAATCTTTTTTGCTGCAGTTGTTAAGCAATTCTGACACCACCAACCCCCATTGACTTTGGTTGTCAAAGGCCCTCTGGAAAGGTCACAAATGGCAATCACCCAACCCTGGGATACTGCAATTGTCATACAAGCCATTTGCCAGTCTGAATTGCTATGGTGGTTTAAATGCAAGGACTGGCTCTAAGTCACTTTTTTTTCAATACCATTGTAACTTCAAATGGTCCTTAAACAAATAGTCATAGTCAAGGAGTACCTGTATCAACTTCCATCTGTTCAACACGGTTGTAGAATGGGAAATGTTTAAGTTGTTTTGAGATACTACATTTTTAAAATGTCATTATTTACAAATTCTTTTCATTATTTTACTTTGCTTATTATGGTTAATCTCACCATCGGCCAGATGTTTAGACTGGATTTGGCATTTTTACCCACCTATTGAGTTCTTCCCAAGGACCTGGGATAGGAAGATGTTTGATGGTGCAAAAAGTATTATTGCAGGGTGTAAGCTGTTCCAAGTTGGCCTTTGCAATTGATTTATGATGATTTTGTCACTGCAAATGCTGTTCAAAGAGTGCTCTAGATGTTATCAGATTGCACCCTACCTCTGTCGGTACTATCTTTGCTTTTATTTTTCCAAGTTCAGTCTGAATATCTGGTTAACTGTACAGTGAGCCAAAATAATACCATTGGCATTGACAAAATCATCATCAGTCAACTGCAAAAGGCAGCTTTACATGGAACATTTTAACTCCTATGACAGTATTTTTAACAGCATCAAACATCAACATCTGCCTATCCCAGGTCTTTGTGAATGACTTAGTACGTGGATAAAAATAACCAAATCTAGTCTGAAATCTGGCTGTGTGATAACCATAATATTTTATATTTTTCTAAAATCAAATTTATGAAGAAACCAAACATAGCCCTCTGATAACTAGTATCTGTGTGAAACTTAAATGAATCCTTATGCTAAAGTTAATAAACTCAATTGGAAAATTTAATATTAATTATGTAATTAGACAAATCTTCAAGTTTTTTAGAATAAAAGTGATACCATTTTCAGCCATTCTGAGAATATGTGTATGTGTATCTATACCTCTATACTAGAGGTATAGATACACATATACTTCAAGCCACAACCTGAGACTCATCATATTAATAAATGTGCAATTAGTTCATATCCATCATCCCAATCATATGTACTTTTTCAGCTTCTTTTAAGCCAGGGTGAAGCAACTATACATTGCTGTTTTCTCAAAGAAAAAACAACTATTATTTTTACGTGTAAAATTTCATCATTTAAAAAACCATTGCATATATGTATTTTTGTGGCAAAATTACTTTGTAAATAGGTCATCCATCAGAGAAAACAATAGATCTAATAGACATTATTATAAAAATTATATAAAGAAAAATAGTTTACTGTCTGTTGTATTTGTTTTCATAGAAAACCAATGTACATAAAAAATAAGCAGAGCTACCCATTTACAGAATGATGGAAATCAAGATTGTTTGAATATATAATACAGGTAGTCCTCAACTTACAACCACAATTGAGCCCAAAATTTCTGTTGCTGAGACGTTTATTAAGTGAGTTTTGCCCCATTTTAAGACCTTTCTTGCCATAGTTGTTAAGTGAATCACTGTAGTTAAGTAAATCTGGCCTCCCCATTGACTTTGCTTGTCAGAAAATAGCAAAAGGGGATCAGCTGACCCTGCAATACTGCAACTGTCATAAATGTCAGTTGCCAAGTGTCTGAATTTTGATCACATGACCATGCTACCATGGTCGTAAATCATTTTTTTCAGTTCTGTTGTAACTTCAAACGGTCACTAAATGAACTGTTGTAATCAAGGATTATCTGTAAAAGGGAAAGTATTTACTCTGTTATCAACAAGCCAGATCCACTATTTGCTTTTTTCATTTTAGCAAGAAAATTGAATACATTATTGAAACAGCATTGGAGTTAGGGTAGAATTAATATAAGTATTACTACCAGTAGCCATAGGAGAGCTTACAGTGTAAATATTCGTGATTAATCAATCAGTAAATGAAACAAAAACACTTATTTTAAAATATCAGTCAGTGCTCTTTATATCCTCTTTCCTGACATTTATTTTTGATATTAAAAATTTCTCATCTTTTATTCTAAGATCAATAATAGGAGAGAAGCCATCTGTTGAGAAAGACAAAAAAATATCAGAACAATCCTATCAGCAAAGGAAAAAATTCCTTAAGTTTCATATTTGCTTCATTATGTTTTCATATCTCTTCTTTATCCAGCATTCTTGCTTTTTAGCATGTTGTATGTAACTATCCAATTTTAACTGGATCCTTTATAAATGAAATCAAGCCTCCAATTACTTTGATAGGTTACCACATTACTCAAAACTGGATGGCTTTGATGTGTGTCTGATAACACAGTGCTGTTGATTTCAGTGAGCTATACCCCCACATTAATGTTCTCAGAACTGCATCCTAAAATGGATGGAAGCTTCAGCTAAGGAAAACTAGCAGTTTAAATTAAGATCCATTATGTCAGAAGAACAAACAGCATCTGACATCAACTTAGAGGCATTATTCAAGGTTATTACCAAAGTCATTTTTAGTTTTTGTATCTATTTTTCATCTTTTGCAATTTTTTATTTCATTTTATATCAATCCACAAGTTCTATTGTTATGTATTCAATATTTAAGCCAAACCTGCTCATTTTCAAGGTTTTTAAAAGAAAAATGCAGTATCTGCAAAGATTTTCAGTACAGTCATGAAAATTTTTATTTAACATTTCTTTATTTGTAAAATAATTGAAGCAAATTCCTAATGCCCACCAGAGATGGGAAGCATGCAAGATGCTCGGATTGTAAAGTTTTCTTCAATTTTTAAGTCACAATGAAGCCTTCATCTTTTTGCATGACAGAAAACAACAGCTGATGAACCCTGGGGAACACGTGCCAGCTGTCTTTCATTTGTTTTATTCTCCAAGCAGTAGATTGGTAGCAGCATTTCAAAAAGCAAGTTATAGCACTGAAATCAATCTCAGTACTGTTTTTCAGTTGTAAACAAAATTTGAATTATGGAGAGTTTCATACTGGATACACATAAATCAATTCTGGTTTTACATAAACTGATGTGAACTTTTAAGTGAATGCATAGTTTGAGTCAAATGTTTATGTTCTCTTTGATATTCAGTTCTGAAGAGTCAAGAGATCCGTTTAACATAATACGCAAATAGCAGTATATTATTTGTAGAAGATTCCATGAATTAAAAATAGTATTTTAATTGGATATGGGATAAACATCGTAATCTAGATACCGTATTTTCTGGCTTATAAGATGACCCCTGACTTTTGAGAAGATTTTCATGGTTTAGAAAGTCATCTTATACACCGGAAAATATGGTAGTTTTTTTTTTTAATTAACACTCATTTTAAAACATTTGAAATTGCAGATCTAGGTAAGGACTGAACAAAAGTAGATTTTTATACTAGCCAGAATTTTTTAAGTGCACATCATAATATATCCAAGAAATGTTTCATAAACCTAATTGTTATTAAAGCCTCCTATAAATAATTTAAGATTCTTTTTGCTACAAAACTGTTACAATCTAGCAATAGCATGCATAGTTTGAATGCTACCATGAAGTTCAGACAGTACTCTAAAAGATATACATTTCACTGGCAATAAGCTGGAGACAGCTGAAAGCTTGAAATAGTCTGAGTTCCACAGTAACAATCTGTAGAACTGAGCAATATTTGTCACCCACTTATTTTATTTCTTCCTTCAAAGGCTCTTAAAACAATTATAAATCTGAATAAAATTTATTTGTATTCTCTGGCATCTTCTGTTAAGAAATTGCAACTGTTTTAAATTTTTGTCCTTTGATGAATACATCCCTTCTGGTGGTATGCACACTTCAACAGCGACTGGCTGCCTAACAAAGTTCCTTTATGCATACCAATAGAACCCTGTCCAGTTTTGCCATTTGTGGAGAACCGATGACAAGATACAAAAGCATGTGTTGGCCATAAATAGCTTTGGCTAACGGAGGACTGCTCGTACAGAGCAGATCAAATTCTCTATATGGAGTGTAGTGTCTGGCTTTCAGCCAAATGTTTAGCCAAACGCAAGACTTAATAGCAGCAAAAGCTTTGGAGACCTATTTGTACAAAACTTAACTGGAAAACAGCTGCCCTGTGACTAGACAAAAAGTAGAACATGAAATACTAAACTAACACAAAACTGGGGAAAGTGAAATAACACTCTAGATTAGCTAATAATTTTTATTGTAAGTTTCTGAAACAGAATAAGTTGTTGGAATAATTGTTTCCTAATAATGAAACATATTAAAGTAACCATAGATTTCAGAGGGAAGGTTGCATATTCAAATCATTGTAAAAGCAAAATCACAATGTAATAGATTCATGATTGAAGTGGAATATATACTAGAGCGATAGGAGTGATACAAAATGGTTAAACATATTTGTGTATGTATATTTTCCCATGAAAACAAAGGGGCATTCTGTAATAAGCTACAGGTTTTATTGCAGTGTGGTGAGTTGATATTTGATTTCAAAACCAGAGTTTCATTTATGGTTCCTTTATACAGAAATTGCCATTATGAATGATGCTTCACAAAATATATTTAGGTTGCAAGATCTGTATGGTAAACAATTCCTACTCCTGTTCAGTAGCATATACTTCATGAAAAACAAAAACAAAAAAGGCATAATTACAGTTACTTCATTTAACAGAAATGAGGACCAAGGTACAAGAGACTGATGACACAATTCCATAAATTAATTGGCATTCTAGGGAGATGGAAGAAGAAATCAAACATATTACAAAAAAGTGCTTAAAATGCATAGTGTTATGTGCTGCCATGTCACAAAAAATAGGCTTATAAAGGCATGTGAGGTGTATGAATGCACAAGAGCCTCATAGAATTGCAAGTGCGACTGTAAAGTAAAACTGAATAGAGTCTCATTTGATCATTGGACAAGAGTTTAAAGGCAATCAATTAACTTAAGCTTTTTCTTTTTGCTTGGCTAGACTATCCACATCAACTATCACATTCATTGTACACATTTGCAAGAAATGCCTGCACTTTGGGCTAAAATATATGGAAAGCATTCCATGGATTCTACATAAAACTACCAGATTTAAAAAATTGTCTAACAAGGGTCATTTGCAGACTGTTAATGATATCTTCTTTAGGTATTTGGGTTCTGGGAAGATGGGGCCAAAAAAGGAATTAGTATTATTCCAACTGAATGAGCTGCAAAAATGGAAGCTCCAGATGGCACATGCCTGTCCTTTTATAAAGGTTTTCCTTCAAGTGAAACTACCACATTGCCTCCTAGTTTCTCTCCCAATGTTGAACGATCTTTAATATCTTCATAACCATTTACCTGCCATTCATGCTTAATACCTGGAAAAGACAAATGAAAATACATATGTGCTTTGTTCTGTATTTTAGTGGGAAGGAATTTTTTTAAAAAGTTGCTGAAAAATAATGAATGTATAGAAACCTGCCTGCTTCCTTGAGCAGAAATTTAAGTAAGAGATTAATCTGAATGTAATTGTTACTAAATTCAAAGTTGTCTTATGATATGTTTTCTACTCATACCTGTAAATTTCTTTTTAATGGCATCTTTAGAACTTGCATAGATCATCTTGCTTTTTAAAGGGGCATTTTCTGGGGCCCTGCAGAGAAGAGGGGAAATTTGTTAATTCAGCTCTAAATCTTGGAAAGTCAACTGTGTTTAACAGTAATCCTTTGACTTACACACCAGAATATAAATACCAGATCTTCCTTTTTAGATTCCTTTGTTTCATATGTTGCATCATACAAAGCATATCGGCAATCATTCAGAGGTAACAGCTTCACAAAGGCTATATAAGGGTCCTCAACTGTGACACCAATGTCACCAACTAATATCTGCTTTGCTTCTTCTACAATTATTTGCTTTTTGTCAGCACTTAAACAGAAAAGAACTGCTTTCTTTCTTTTTTTAATCTCTTCCGATGTTGAAGATTTCCGTACTTTCATATCATTGAAAACCTTGATAACGTCATCATTCACTGTTACCCCAGAAGCCTATAAAACAAATTGAAATAACATTTGTTAATATAAACTGAATTTGAAGACATAGAACAGCCCTACTGAATTCAGTAAAATTTACCCCAAGGGAGATATGTATAGAATCAAGCTTGTAACTTGGTCTGCAGTTAATATTTGGAACATTTGGAACATTCTTTGAGGCTCAATATTTGTTAACATTATCTGCAGTTATCTAAGATTAATTCTTATCAAATTCAAGGAAATGTTAACATCTAAGGAAATGTGCCTAATATTATACAGGCTTTGCCCCCAATAATACAATACCTGAATATTCTAGTTTTGTTCAGGAGGTAGAATATATATGTTAAATTATGGATTTATGTTATGTACTTAAATTTTAGTTAATACTATTCTGTATATACTTCACTGAAATCACTACAGGATGAAATAATCAAGGACAGAATGTACAATTACACTGAAGCTCATTAAATCTTGCAAGAGCCATGCCTAAAAGAATGTAACTTACACCATCTGACTAAGAGGAGGTGTTCCTTAAAGTCATAGTTATTTAAAGCCATAGATATTTTTTTCTAGCTTTCATTCAATTTTAGTGAATGAAATGAGGATGCAAAATTTTCAGGAAAGATCTATAAAATTTTCTCAATTTTTAGTATTTAGTATTAAATATTATGCTGGAATGAGTCTAGTGAAAGCAATCCACAGAGCACAACTTTAATATATAAAGAACACCCCAACATGTGAGAAATAAGTCAACCATATTTACAGAAACCTCATTTTCATGTAAACAAGTCCCTGCACAGAAAATTAGACTTTAGATTTACTACCTTTTCTTGAATACAACAAGGAACACATAACACTTCCCTTCTCCAGTTTTTCCTAGAGCTTTATTTCTTGGGGAAAAAAACACCTGCAAAATAGTCTGCTTCAAAGTAGCCTAAGGAGCTTCTGTGGTTGAAGGTAGATCTGAATGTGGGTCTTTCAGATTTATTTCATCACTTTAACCCTTATAGCACACTACTAGGGATTCATGAGTATATCCAACAAAATAATAGCATATTATAGCTGGTATTTATTCATTTTTTGTCTTTAACTCACAAAGAAATATATGGTTATGTTTTTAATTGATGTTTTATTACACAAAAACAATTCAATTATTTACTCATATAGTCAACCCCCAACCATTGTTCTGTAAACAAAATATAATAGTTATCTCAGTGTTCTCTTTTACAGAATGACAACCTTTGCATTTTCCTTCTCTACTGTTAGAAGAAAATCAAGCCTTTTGTGTACACATATTATCTAGCACCAACAGGAATAGCTGTATAATAATGCCATTCAAATACAATCAGGACATTCCTGCTGTTCTGTTGGATTTTCAGCCACATACTGGCAGTGGGCAGGCTCTAATGGGCAGTGTTCTCTGGAGTGGATCAAAAGAATAAAGATGACCCCCCCACCCCGTTTGAATAACTCAAGTTTAAGCTATCCATACGTAGTGAATGGTATATACTACTGTACTCAGCTTTCCCAATGAGGGAGCGCTTCTGCCCCAACATTCTGATTAATTAAAGCTATCTAACAAAGGAAAACAATGTTTTTTCCCATGTTCTTTATCCAGAAGCAATAAGCTAGTGACACAGCGGAGAGGGGAAAACCCAGCTATGCTATGCGTCATTCAACCACACTTGCCTTTCGGTTTAGAAACATCTTTTTTTCAGTTAGACAAAAAGAAGTTGCATCTTATCATACAAAATGTGCCACTAGACATGGCGTTATAAAATGGAAGTCATACAAAGGATCTTATAGACGTATATTTTCCCACCAAAAAGTGGAGACGAAAGCACAGAAAACATTTGTCTCTCTTTTTTGCCGGAGGTCCAAGTCATTTTGTATAGTCTGTTCTCCATTATATATCCTTTTATTAGGAGAAGGAATATTAATCTCTTCTCCCAAATCTTAAAAAAAAAAAGGTGGATGAAGTCAACCAGCCCTTTTTATTTCCCGAATTATACGCCAATAAAAAGGGAAAGCGAATGAAACAAATCCTTTCCAGGCATGAGGGAGACTCGGTCTCATCCTATTCGCCCCACTGCGTTTCTTCTGCCCCAGTCCTCGCTCTAGAAGGCAAGGAAAAGCCGGCGAGGGAACAAGCCAGTCCCGTTATTTGGCTCCCGTTCCGTGACTCCAAACGGCCAAATGCAGCTATTTAAGGGAAAACCTTCCCAGCTCTACCAAATGGAAAGGAAGGCAGCACGAGTCGTGTCGCTCCCCGGTATTTTTCCGCGTCTATCCGAGAAAGCGTTACGATCGCGGGAGAGCATTTTTTTAAGACCACGGCAGGAGCCGCCGAGGGGCAAAGCCTCCTTCACCAGCGCTGCCTTTCTCCTTCTCTCGGGGATGGCCGAGACACCTCGTCCACCCGCCTCACGCGGCCCCCAGCTTCCCCCGCGACTTGCGCTGGGGGGGGTGTCACCGCCGCCACCCCCCCCCACTCAGCCTAGGCTAAAATTAGACTAAAATGGCTGCCAGGCACCGCCAGGGGCTCACTTCGCCCCTCTCGCCCTCGGGAGCCTGGTCTAGCTATTCTGGCTGAGTCCGAGCGGCGAGCGCCCGGCCGCGGCAGGTTGCTCCGCGCTCTTACCATGGTGCCCGGGCTGGGTGGCGGCGCGGGGGGTGATGGCGGCGGCCGCTTCTGCCGAGGGAGCGGAGTCGGACTGGCGCTACGGAGCCCACCGAGGAGAACGCAGGCGGGGAGGAGAGAGGCGATCGTCGGGGGGCTCGAGAGGAGGGGGAGGCGGATCACATGGGCTTCGCCTTTCCCTCACCACGTGCTCCAGGCCCTGCCCAGCCCTGCGGAGAAGCCAAAATGGGGAGGGGGAAGACGAAGGGCTCCCCTCCTTTTTTGACGCCAGAACTTCGCCGAAAGGGCGCTTCGGCGTGAGAGGGAGAGCGGAGCCCGCCTCGGGCTTCCTCAGGGGGAGGAACCGTTGCTGCTCTGCATTACATCCCCGGAGGGCATCCTTTTCTCCTTCGCCCTCTCTTGGCCGACCCCATCCCTCCGCCGTCCAGCGGGCCAGCCCCGGAGCACGGCAGCGGCGTCGTCTTTGCCTTGCAGCCCCCTCTGCGGCTTGTTCAGCCGCCTTTGCGCTTTTCGATTACGTGGGGTGCGGCAGGTGAGACGGGTCCTGCCGCACTTTTGGCCCGCCCCACGGATAGCGGGCACCGCCGCTCGCAGCCACCCCGTCCTGCGGCGGGCTTGGCTCTCTTTGTGTCGCTGCAAGGGCTCTCTGCTCTTGGAGCTTACGCGCTGGGTCCGGGAAGAGATGAGCGAGAGGCGGCGGCGGCGGCTGCAGAGCAGTTGCCCCCGACGCCGCTTCCTGGCCGGGCTTCTCTGAGCGCACCTGCTGAGGTTGGACCGCCTTGTTCTGCCAAGGAAGCGGGCAGGAATGAATCCAGGACGAATCTGCCGCAGCCGAGGGGCCGCCGCTGCCTGATACGAAAAGGAGTGAGAAGGGTGGGAACTGGAGAAAGAGCTGAATGGGGAAAGAGTCGTTCGTGTTTCACGGCCAGCGGTGTAGTGTTTGTGTTTGAGTGTATAGTAAATCCTCTGTTTTCAATGGGAAAAACCCAAGACCAATTTAAAAGGTTTTTACAGCGACAACGCCTAGCTCAGGAGAGGGGTGCCTGGCCCAGCTAACTAAGAATAGATACCAAAACTCAGAGACAAAATGGAAGAAGCTGCAAAGTGTCCTGAATCATATGGTGTACTTGTGTGAGAGAGATTCATTGGATGAACAACGCTCCTGGGCATGCTTACCCATGGTTAATTGTACCATAGTTTATGTAATTAAATTTCCTGGATTCACACCACATGCGGACTTCACACAACATATGTTTAGCCAGTTAATGGTTCACTGTCATGTAGCCACCATCTGAAGCTCATAGGGGTCTTGAGAATTATGCTGTAGAAGCAGTTGGATGACAAAGCTGATGAAAGGGGGACGTGCTCAAGGCTCTGAGAGGAGTAATTTTTAACCTCAAGGTTAAGGACTTGAATGTGAGTGACAAAGCCTAATTCCTTCTCCACAAACAAGGACAATTTAGTAATAAATACATTCTTGATGAAAAAGACAGTCAAAACTCCCTCTGTGTCAGTGTAAGAAGATAATAAAACATCTGTCTAATGTTTTGAGAATTGTCATATTATGTGCTTGGCCACCAAAAGTGTGAATGTTATTTTCAGTACTGTTCTTTGGCATCTGATACTGAAAAATAATTTCAACCTTTTTATATGGAAAATGAATATCTTATTGTAAATTGCAGATAAATGAAGAGAATTATCAAGAGAGGTGTTAGAACACTACTGCTTTAGCAAAAGTAACTTGAAAAAGCTAGTTTTACAGTTTGACATTGGTTACAACCAGATTTACATTAATATTTTCAAGAATGACTCCTAATATATTTAATGTTGAAGTCAGCTCAAGAACTTTTAAGATTGCTGAAGATTGACCAAATAGATGTTAAAAAGATAGGGTACAATAAAGTTATATATTCATATTCATCATTAATTTAAATTATATATCATTTTACAGTGGAATTTAGTTCTAGGATAGAAAGACTTTGTTTTTAAATATGGGAAAGGTAGATGACACAGATTTATGTGAAAAGTAGGAGTTATTGAAGCTATATGTTGAAGTTGTATATTGAAAACATGAAGCAGGTGATTGCCTTTTAATAAAATATAGATTCTGCTATTCCAAAGGTGCTTTTTCCAACAGCCAACTGGACTATCTTGGGTTTATCTTTGAAAACATTTTGCTTCTCATCCAAGAAACTTTGATTCTTTTTCTTTTGGAAAAAGCACCTTTGGGACAACCATGACCTGGATGATTGAGAATCTCTAGAGATATATATTTTGTTAATTTTTCCACAAGAGATTACTTTTATTCACACAGTATTACATATAAGCTGCTAGAGTTATAATAGTTTGGGAATTCCAATGCAGAGCTCTGAAAATAGACCAATTCAGTTCTTCCTGTCTAAAGGGGGTCCAGAATCAATAGTTGGCTGGTCAATGCCAAGATTCAAAACTAATTTCAGAGGGAAAAATAATTAGGTAAACGTTCATATCTTACACCATTTATACCATATGAGGAATATTTTAGTGAGAAATTTCCTTTTAAATTAAACAGCTTAAATAGCCATATTTTTTTTTCATTTTTTCAACCTTAAAATAATGAAACAAAACTTTGGACCCTATGAGCTGATTCCCTTTATTTTGAGATAGGCTTGTGAGTTGATAATTGTTGTTAACTGCAAAGTCGTGTCCGACCCATCACGACCCCATGGACAATGTTCCTCCAGACCTTCCTGTCCTCTACCATCTTCTGGAGTCCATTTAAGCTCACGCCTACTGCTTCAGTGACTCCATCCAGCCGCCTCATTATCTATTGTCCCATTCTTCTGTTGCCTTGAATCCTAAATGGGCCAAAGGTTTTCACCCTATTTATTTCTGTGACTTCATAACTCCATTAGCTATTCCTTCTGTAACCCTGACAGGCTCAACATTTTTTTTCCAAGTACGATTCCCACCTGAAAAAGGAAGACTTCTTAGAAGATAATATATAGACTTAGTTATAAACAGAATGGTCTAAAACAAGGGTAGGCAACCTCGGCTCTTTTATGACCCATGGACTTCAACTCCCAGAATTCCTGAGTCAGCATAGCTGACTCAAGAATTCTGGGAGTTGAAGTCCATGAGTCATAAAAGAGCCAAGGTTGCCTACCCTTGGTCTAAAAGCACGGATTTGGTTATTATAGGTAGTCCTCAATTACTGCCACAATTGAGACTGGTATGTGTCATTACAGTAGGAGGTCATTAAATGAGTTGTGCCTGATTTTATGACTTTGCCATGGTTGTTTAATTACTGTGGTTAAATGGATCTTGAAGTCATTAAGTAAATCTGGCTTCCCCCTTGACTTTACTTGTTGGAAGCTGTCTGGGATGATTGAAAATGGCAATCAAGTGACACTAGAATGCTGCACCATCATAAACACATGCTGGCTGTCAAGTCTCCAAATTTTGATCATGTTGACCCATGAGGGGTGCTACAACAGTCATAAGTGTGAGGACCGGCCATGAATTATTTTTCTCATTGTCATTAACTTTGAATGCTTGCTAACAAACAGCTGTAATTCAAGGTCTATCTGTAGCTAGTAAAAATTCCATTGACTACTGTTTTACAAATTTTGAAAATCATTTAATTGTGAACTCGTGTTTGACAATTTTATCATCTTTTGTGGTGGCAGCGACTAAATTTACTTTTTTAAGAAAGTGGATTGCAGAGTTGTTTGGTAGGCCACGTGCAGGTCATGAGCTGTGTCCAGGACCAGATCAATAACAGAATCCTGCAAGTCTAATTATACCATATCTCCACTTGGTCTCTATATAGGTAATCCTTGATTTACAATGGCAATTGGACCAGAATTTTCACTGCCAACCAATACAGTGCTAAAACATGATCTCATTGTTTTGTGATGGAAATCCCTGCAGTCCTGAGTGCCATCATTAACCAAATCCCGTGATCATTAGTTGAGGCACTTTCCTGTCAACTTCCCACAATCAGGTCCGTGAGGAAGCCAGCAAGAAGTAGACCAGCAGCAGATAAGTGTTGCGGAGAAGGGGGGGAAAGGGCAGGACGATAGGGGCTGTGTGAGGTTGGATAACTCTGTATAAGTGACATGGCATCTTAAATATTGTTGTAATATTTGATTCAACCTCTCTGATTTCCCCACTGGATGCCAGATACAGAAAGGTTGACAAATGAACTTTGAAGTTTATTAATTGAAAAGGGACCTTCCAAAACTTGGTGGTAAATAACAATACATAATAGTGTTCCAGGGTTGCAAAAGTGAGCTTAGAGATTGCTGCAAGGCAGCTGGTTTTCCAGGAACAGATTTTGCCTGGCAGTGTACATAACAAAATGAAACATAATCTTTGACATCTACCCTCGCTCTTGGCCCCCATAAGTCCCCAAGAAACCTCAGTTTAAAACTGAGAATTTTAAACACACTCCCTTGCCCAGCTGTCGTACTGTTGTGACACAGTTATATTTCTTCCCTTAAATGTAGGGAAGCATGTAAGGACCATTGTGCAATAGCTGCCCTTCCTAAACCATGAAAGGTAAAGAATTGTCTTGTGGATCTTCTTAGAGGTATCTATCTGAGCCCTGATATAAACCTGTTTCCCTGCTCCGTTTCTCTGGAGGTCGAACCTCTGGGGAGACTAGAAATTGCTTGGTTTGATTATGGCATTTGGGGAAAAGATTGCTTCACTTAATGACA